AAAAAAAAAAAAAAAAAGGAAAGAAAGAGCCCCACTGAGAGATGTAGCCTCCAAAGGCATGCCCTCAGTGGCCCAGTTTCCAATTAGATCCCTCCTCCAGGGGCCAGGGATTTAGCTCAGTGGTTTCACTGCCTGCTACGCAAGCGCAAGGACCTGAGTTCAATTCCTGGTACCTAAAAAAAAAAAAATAGATCCCTCCTCCTAATAGCACATTCAGCTAAAACTCATCAATGATGAGTATAGCATCCCCCATGATTCAATCTCCTTCCTGAAGGCCCACCTCTGAACACATGAGACTTTGAGGGGCATTTTAGATCCAAACTATAACAGCATCTGTCCCTGGAATGAGGCCATCTATAAGACCACCAAGTTAGGTGCTTCAGTTTCCCCTCATCCTTTTCTCTGAATGTCTGGTTCTCTCAAATCACCAACAATTCCCTGCTGCCTGTGCCTCCCGGTGCTCAGCCTCTACATCCTTCAGCTGCATGGACACCACCTCCAGCCAGTCCTGATGCCATTTCAGACAGCACTGACTGGAGACCCTGCCCCACCTCTAATCTACAGTGGATTTGGTTTGGGCCTCCTCCAATAAAATGGGGACTAGGAAGCACAACACAGCGCAGGCTACAAGGGCTATTGTCAGCATTCTGCATCTTAGCACCATCATGATATTGAAGGCATCTTCTAGTCCCTGAAATGTGCAGCGTGACCAAGGTGCAAGATCCAAGGCCCAAGGTCAAGCTTATCCAAGGTCACTCAGGTCTAATCCTGGTCCTTCCACTTGCTGTGTGATCTCGGAAAAGCTGCTGGGCTTTACATATTCCAATCTCTCGTGTGTACAAGAGGATAATAAAAACGCGAATTTTTAAAAAAATAAATACACACTTTATTTTTTTCCTTTTTTTTTTTTGGTACTGGGGATCAAACTCAGGACCTTGCGCTTGTGAGGCAGGCAGCGGTTAAAACACTAATTTCATGGGGTCCTTGCTAGGATTAAAGGACCTGACTCTTGTAAAGCACTCAGCACAGCCCTGATACACAGAACACCTTCCATAGAGGTTAACTCTAAGCATTTTGTGGTTGTGAGATTGTTGCTCTTTTTTTTTTTTTTTTTTTGGTACCAAGGATCAAACTTGAGTCCTTGTGCTTGCGCAGCAGTCAGCGAAACCACTGAGCTAAATCCCCTGTTGTACTTTTTTCCAGGTGAGGGTCACTGCCATCCTCAAAACCCTGGATGCAGCCTGAGAACAGGGTCTAGGGAGGCCTCATGATGTAGTGGGCTCTGAGTGGATATGTGCAAACCTGAAGGGATAAATGAACAACTGCACTGAGGAATGAAAAATAATGAGATCTGTCCCAATAAAGAGAACCAGTGCATCTGAGAGGAGAGAATGAGCACACACATGAGAACAGACAACAGCTCTTTGGATGCTGTGCAATTCCAGACCCTCAGGAGCACCATCTTGAACCTGGCAGCCAGACAACCACATGACCTTGCTGCTCTGTGTGACAGAGATTGGGCCATGGGCCCCTGGCCTTTGGAGACTGAGACTCATAAGCCTAGGTTACTATCAAGCAGAAGAGGGAGGCCTTCAGGCCAAGAGAGGAGTTGGATCAAATGCTCTAGGAAGAGACCACACTAGGTCTGGGATCTGGGCAGGTGGTCTGATGCTGGGAGCATGGCCATGCTCCTCAGAGGGAGCACTTTTGGGCACCCTCCAGATACATGGGCTGGACATTTATGCTCACATGTGCACACACAAGCTTATCCAAGGTCGCTCAGGTCTAATCTTGGCCCTTCCACTTATTTTATTAAAAACATTTTTGTTTTTAATAAAACACTAATAAGAAAATGAAAAAGGCAACCTGTGACTGCAACAAAATATTTGTAATGCATATATCTGACAAAGTACTGGCATCCGAAATGTATAAAGAATGACTACAGGACTGAGGATTTAGCTCAGTGGTTCAGGCACCTGCCTCACAAGCACAAGGTCCTGAGTTCAATCCCTGGTACCAAAAAAAAAAAAAAAAAAAAAATGATACAGCAAATTAAAAGCAACAAACTCCATAAATTAGGCCAAGTTTCCAGAGTAAGAGAAAAAAAAAAAAAAAAAGAATGACTGCAATTCAAAAACAATAAGACAACTGAATAAAAATAGTGGACAAAAGATGTGAACAGGTTCTTCACAACAGTGGACATATGAATGGCCATACTGTGAGCACATGAAAAAATGTTCAGTATTGGAAGTACTATAATGAAAGCACAATAAAAAACTACTATAGACTTCAGGCTAAATTAGAAAGACTGACAATACCAAGTGTTGATGAGGAGTTGGAATATCTGGGACTCTCAAACAATACTGGTGGAAATGTAAAATACTATTGTATACACTCAAAAAGTTTTCTTTTTTTCCCCACTCCTGGGGGAAAAACATACATTTATTATTTATTATTGTTAAGCTCAACAAGTCACTTACCCAAAAAAATCTATAGGCTGAATGTTTATGTCTCCCTCCACATTCATACTTTGAAATTTAATCCTCATGTAAAAGCTGATGACACTGCTGGGGATTTGGCTCAGTGGCACCGCGCCTGCCTCACAAGTGCAAGGTCCTGAGTTCGATCCCCAGTACTGGGGAAAAAAAAGTAAGTTGATGATACCAAGATAAAATCATTCTTATTAGATCCAGACAAAATTAAGAGTCTGGAAGTTATGAAGGGGGAGTGTTCATGCCTACCTGAGATAAGTACCTTCTCAAAGTCTGCTATAACCTGGGCATGGTGGAACATACCAGTATTCCCAGAAGTATAGGAGACTGAGGCAGGAAGATTGCAAGTTCTAGCCTTGCCTAGGCAACATAGAAAGATCCTGTCTCAAAAAAAAAATTTTTTTTTTAATGGGAGATGTGGGGCCGGAGATTTAGCTCAGTGGTTCCACCGCCTGACCCCCAAGCACAAGGACCGGAGTTCGATCCCCGGTACATAAAAATAGAATAAAAAGGAGGATGTAGCTCAGTGGGAAAGTTCTGGGTTCAACTCCTAGTACTACAGTAAATAAATAATAAAAAATAAAGGCTTCCTATGGTTTGGATAAATGTTCTCCCATGACCCTGGTGTTAAAGGATGGTACTCAACCCATGGTACTATTGGAGGTAGTGGAACCTTTAAAAGGTGGGGCCTTGTGGGAAGAGGTGAGATAATTGCAGGAGAGTCTTTGAGGGAGTCATTCATACCTCCTGGTGTTCGCTCTCTCTCTCTCTTCTTCCCAGCTGCCTTGAGGCAAGCAGCTCCTGCACCATGTGCTCCCACCATGATGCACTGTGCCACTACAGACCCAAAGGCAATGGAGTCAAGTAACCATGGACTGAAACTTCTGAAGCCCTGAGTCAAAATAAATCATTCTTCTTTTTAAGTTCATACATCTCAGGTATTTTGTCATAGTAATAGATAACCAATTTAACACAAGGCTGAAAAAAGATTTCTTTTCATTGTATTCATACCCCATGCTTTGCACCCCTAGCATGTATGCAATCAATTTCTACAACAAAGTTTATTTTTCACATTCTTTAATACTACAATTAGTCAGACACGTTCTGGGCAGGTATGGTGGTGCATACTGATAATTCCAGCCCTTGGGAGGCTGAGGAGGATCACTGTGAGTTCAAGGTCAGCCTGGGCTCCATAATGAGTTCAAGGCCAGCCTGAACTACATAGCGAGACCCTGACTCTAAAAAGAAAAAGAGGAAGGGCCAGGGATTTAGCTCAGTGGTTCTGCTGCCTGCCTCGCAAGTGCAAGGATCCGAGTTCAATCCCTGGTACCAAAAAAAAAAGAAAAGAAAAGAAAAGAAAAGGGAAAAACAAAAAGCAGGAGCCAGTGATATAGAAAGCAAAGGAAGGGCCTGGGGATTTAGCTCAGTGGTTTCGTTGCCTGCTGCACAAGTGCAAGGACCAGAGTTCGATACCCGGTACCAAAAAAAAAAAAGAAGGCAAAGGAAAGGGCAGCAACTGGCTTTGGCCCCCACTTATACATTTGCAGCTAAAGACCAGTGGATGTGATGACTTTGGGGCTGGTCCACATGGGGCCCTGGGCCGGTCTGGGCAAGTTGAGTCTGTGTAGTTCCTTGGAGATCTCCAGAAAGGTCTTGCCTTTGGTCTCAGGGAGGAATAAGCCAGTGTAGATGGCCCCACAGATACAGACACCAATGAAAGGAACATACAGGAAATGGGACAAACTCTCCTGTGGGTTAAAAGAGACCCCAAGACTGGTGTGGCCTCTCTCAGGTCTCAACAGAAGGCCCATGAGAAGTCCTGAGGAGGCCCTTCTCCCCTTTGCTCACAAGCCCCCTCCCCTACAGCGTCAGTCTCCCTGGATGAAGGCCTCCTGCTAGGGTGGTAATAGTGACAAGGACAAAATCTGAGGCAGGGCCCCCCACCCCGAAGGGAAGCATGGACTTACCCGGATGAAGGGGAACCCCAGCCCAACCAGGAAGAGCATGGTCCACATGAGCACCCCACAGACCACATAGGCAGCAGGCCGGGCCATCTGGTCAAACAGCTCTGTAGCCAGGATCCCCGTCACTCCGGCTGCAAAAAGAGGGGACAGGGAGCTGCCAGCCTGGGTTTCCTGCTCTGCCTGTCCCTCGCCTGGGCCTAGTCTGCATGGGGGTTCCAGGGTGCTGTTCTACAACCATTCTCTCCCAGAAGCCTCAGCACAGGGAGGCTCCAGGTGCTGTAGGTAACATTTCATCTGTACTCACCCATCACTCCCCTAGATATCCATTATTCATTCAGCAAGGCCTAAAGTCCAGAGGCCCTTAGGCTCACTCACCAGGGCCAATGCCAAAGCTGAGGATGAAGGCAAAGATGCAGGACATGGCCAGGTAGGGCATCCAGTGGAAAGAGCTCTGCAGTAGACAGTGTGGAGGGTGAGGTGGAAAGCAGACCTGGGCCAGCCACTGCCCCATTCCCCCAGCTACCTGCAGGCACAGGGCGACTGTGAAGATGCTCCCCCAGCAGATCATCAGGCCGTAACCCCCTATGAGCAGCACCCGCCTTCCTACCCTTTCAACCACCACACACTGCAAAGGAAAGGAGCCACTCAGCAGGGCAGGCAACACGGAGGGGTGTCATGAGGGAGCTGGCAGTGGGGAGCAATGTATCGTTTCAGAAGATTATGACTTTATTCATTTCCCTGAGGACTCTTGCCATCACTTATTCAACTTTATTTAGTTTTCTCATCTCAAGACGGGGGTGTGAATGTCCATCAAACACAAATGTTCAAAAAAGGCTCACTGACTGGCTGCAGTTTTAGAGTGAGCAGAAGTGGCAAACAGCTTAATGTAGAGGACCTCAGTCCTAGAAGCACTGGTACCTTGAGCCCCAACTCCCCCTGCCCCGCAGGGCTGGTGGAGGATGAGCCCAGACTCACACTGACAAGAACCGCAAACAGCTCGCAGCTCCCAGTCCCAATGGTGGCATACTGGACCTTCTCCCCCGGCACGCGAGCCTCCAGGAATATGGAGGAGGCGTAGGCGTACACCTGGAAGGGGGTGGGCGGAGAAGCAGCTCTGGGCTCTTGGCTCTCTTCAGTCTCCCATGGCTCCCACCTACCTGCTGCAGGACCGCAGGCCCAAGGTGTCGGGCAGAGCAGGGCCTCACCGAGTCATTCCCACAGAGCTCCATGGCACTGCCCAGCACCACCAGGCTGGTCACCTGCCTCCTCAGGGCAGGATCCAGGAACAGCTCCCACGGGCGCTGAATGCGGCGGCCCTGGCAAGCGGCGCGCTCTTCCTCTATCTCCTCCAGCTCCCGGGCCACATCCCTGTCTCCTCGAAGCCGCTTCAGGGCTGAGACCGGGGGTGGGGGGAGGGGGGGTGTGCTGAGCTCGTGCTCCCTCAGCCCCTCTTTGGTCCCCCACGGTGAGCCCTCCCTCCAAACCCACCCCCACCGCCCCATCAAATACAGGGAAAACCAGGTTGGGGAATGGCTCACTAGTACAGCCCTTGCCTAGGCTTTATGAGGCCCTGGTTCACTTTCCAGCACTGAAAACACACACACGCACAGAAAACACACATGTTTTGAGAAAGTTATATTGGCAAAAGATCTGCCACTTTAGGGCCGAGATTTAGCTCAGTGGTTCCAGCGCCTGCCTTGGAAGTGAAAGGTCCCGAGTTCGATCCCCAGTACCCCCAAAAAAAAAAAAAAGACCTGCCACTTCAGGCAAAAAGAGATGCAAACAGTTTGAAGTGTAAAGGTGTCTGTGCCTCAACTTTTTTTTGGTACTGGGGATCAAACTTGGGACCTTGCACTTGTGAGGCAGGCGCTGGAACCACTGAGCTAAATCCCCGGCCCTTGTGCCTCAACTTTCTAAAGGTCGGAAGCAGTAGGAAGCAGGCTGGGAAACCTGCTCAACCACCAAACCCAAAGCAATGCCTTTCCAATGCTTTCTTCAGGAAGTGTCAAGGAAGGCATGGAAAAAGGAGATTATCTCAGGGCACGAAAGGGAGGGAACCATAGTCTGGAAGACCCTCCCAGCGGGCAGGGCCAGGACTGGAGCAGGGAATATTCCTTTCCCCAAGCCAGGGAGACTTGGCTATGAGTTCCTAGGGGCACTTCAATAACTGTTTTGGGTCAGTGGCTGCTCTGTGCCTTCTGAAGGCTCCTTGCTTTTGAAATCAGCTATTAATTCCAGCTACCCTGTATCACTTTCTTGTATGCTGAGTGTGGTAGGGGATGAAGACTTGTCTTTTTAGGCCTTAGGTCTCTGGGTCATAAAAAAACATCCGCAGACTTAATGTGATCTTAAGAAGCATGACTTCAAGCCTGGTCCTATGACTGGATGAAACTTTGAGGAACCTGGGGATGGGGTTGAACATATTTTGCATAAGGCAGAAAATACATAGTAATTGTGGCCATAGCCAGGCCTGGTGGCCTGTGTCTGTAGTCCCAGCTACTTAGGAGGCTGAGGAAGGAGGATCATTTGAGCTCAGGAGTTTGGGACCAGCCTGAGAAAACATAGCCAGACTCCTAAGTCAAGGAGAAAAATTGTGGCTGTGATGGAGAATTGAGAGGAGCACATCCATGTGCCTGGTCTTCACTGCTCCCTAAATCCACACCCCTTGCCATGGGACAGGATACTCCATCTATTTGCCCATCCCTTGGCTTTGGAGTTAGCTGCATGACTCCCTTTGGCCAATGGAATGTTAATGTGCACGGGGGTCTACCAATTTGGAAAGTGCTTGTGCAGTGGGGTTTGGTTTCTCGTGTCACTGCCATCCCCACACTAAGAACATTCTTAGGCTAGCCCATTGGTACCGAGAGTGAAAGATGTGCGCAGAGCTGAACTGTCCCAGCCCAGACCAGCCTAGACTGACCGAGACGCCGATGCCCTGAGCTGACCCAGCTGACATCAGCAGAGCTGTACTACAAGCTCGGTGAATGAGTAAAGGTGTGGTAAATGATTATAGTTCTGTTGTTTTTTTTTTAATTGGTGCCCGGGATTGAACTCGGGACCTTGTGCTTTTGAGGCAGGCGCTGGAACCACTGAGCTAAATCCCTGGCCTATGATTATAGTTTTAAGTCAGAGATTTTGTGACTGTTCCTTGGGTGTCCTTATTATAGCCATAGTATCCATCATTGTCCAGTTGGCTTTGGGCAAGTGAGGCTTCTACAGGTGTTTGCATGCATGCGCGCGGGCGCACGCGTGTGTGTGTGTGTGTGTGTGTGTGTGTGTGGCTATTTGTATGCACCACCTTAGCTTTCCTGAAAGGAAGGAACTGGGTCTGATCCATCTCACTGTCCTATGATTTAGGACATCCCCTTGATAAAGAGTTTTGAAGGGATGGACAGACAGATGGTGATGGTGAGACACAGAAAGGACCGCTTTTCCCTGATAAAACCCAAAGAAATGAGGACTCATATGCTCTGGTGAGATGCATCTGTGGGTCAAGGGTGGTCTGGGGGCCCAAGGGCAGGGACTCACCTGCCACACAGGCCTCGGTGTCTCCACGGTCGATGAGGAGGTAGCGTGGGCTCTCGGGGAGCAGGGGCAGGGAGGCGAGCTGGAGCACCCCGGGCACCAGGCAGCTGGCCAGCAGTAGGGGCCAGGCCTGTGGGCCACCGAGGAGCTCCCTGAGGAGGCAGAGCACAGGCCAGGCTGGGCGCCTCCTTGCACAGCCCTGTCTCCTCTCCTCCCTAACCCCCTGCCTACTACTAACCTGGTTGGACAGTAATATTGCCTTGGGCCTCTCCCCCTCCAGCTCTGGGTCTGGACGTCAAAATTCTTCCCACCCAGGTAGAAACCAAGAGAGGGAAGGGCAGGCCCCTGCCCACCTCATTCATCCCTAGCATCTCCTCTTCCCAGTGGTACAAGCTTGGTTTGTTTCTCTTTTTTTTTTTTTTCTGGGATGACCAGGGTATGATTCCCCTTAAAAGCCTAAATCTGTCAAGACCTGTTCTTTGCTTCCTGTCCTGGAGAGAATGGGAAAAAGGTGATTCACACTAAAGTATGGTTGGCTTTTTGTGTATCAGCCATAGGGATGAGGATAGAATTTTGATGGCTTCATGCAAAAAGCAATGCCTCGCCGAGATTTAGTTCAGTGGTTCTGCCACCTGCCTCGCAAGTGCAAGGTCCCAAGTTCAATCCCCAGTACCCGAAAAAAAAAAAAGAAATGCCTTAATTTATATGATGGGTAGGGGCAAAATTTGAGCAAAGAAAGGTTTTTAACTAGCATCCTTGAAACCACTCAATGCACAAGGAAGAGGGGCCTTACCTGAGTCCAACCACCTGTCCCATCACGATCCCCAGGGCTGTGAAGATGGCTGAGCTCATGGCCACGGCTCCTCGGAGCTCCTTGGGAGCACTCTCCCCCAGGTACATGGGCTGGATGTTCATGCTCACACCTGAAAACATGCATGGCAGGGGCCTATCAGCTACCAGGAGGCCCACACACACCTGTGATGCTGAGCTGCCTTCCCCATCACAGGAGGTAGAACCCTGTCCCTTGACCACTGGATCCTGGCACCAAGGGCCACTACACACCTATGCACTCACCCTATACACTCTAAAGGGCTCCGCTTCACCTGCTGTAGGGCCAACTGGACCTCCTCCCCTCAGGATTTCTGGGACAAGATAAATCTTTCAGCTCCTGTTGTGGCTTGTGTCTAGATGTCCCCTAAAGCCTCATGCAGTCTTTTATGAAGGTAACTAAATCTGGAATGTGTGTGGCTAGGATTAAGGGCATGTGATCACTAAACCACTACACATGAGTGGTTGGTTAGAGAAAAGGAGCAGAGAGACACTGTTAAGTTCCCTTGTTGCCTTGGCTCCCTGGTGTGTGGCATGTTGTTTCTCCTCTGCGATGCCTGTCTGCCATCCACCCTGCCTTGGAGCCAGCCGATTATGGACTGAAACTTCTAAAGACTGTGAGTCAAATAAACCTTTCCCCTTTTAACTTTGGGTGTCAGGTATTTTGTTTCAGCAATGATAGAAAAGTAACTAACACAGCTCCCAAGCTGGTCCCTCATCACAGCCCCACATGTTCATGGGATCTTTCTAGGTGTGAAGGTCTTTGCAGTGGTCTGAATGCCAAATGCCCCCAGAGGTCCATGTGTTAAAGCCTGGTCCCCGGGCCTTATGGCAGGTCCTTCAGTCACGGAAGGACTGTGGGGGCCCCAGTCTCTGCCTTCCAGAACCAGGAGCCAAAATGAAACTTTTTTTTTTTTTTTTTTGGTACCAGGGATTGAATTCGGGACCTTGTGCTTGCAAGGCAGGTGGCGGCGGAACCACTGAGCTAGATCCTCAGCCCATGAACCTTTTTTCTTTCCAGTATTTCCACTAATAAACCAGTATTTCATTTAGTGACAGAAAGCTGACTGAACAGTCTCTGAGAGGCTGCAGGGGTTGGAGAAGAAGGACAGGATCCTACCCTGGACACCCAGCAGCTGCCTTGGCTCTCTCAGCAACTCTTTCATTGACCACTACCGTTTTAGGTTCTCAACTCATCCCAGCTCCCTGCAGGACGCACCTGGTACCTACACAGTTAGTGGGGAAGGGCCAGGGATTTAGCTTAGTGGTTCCGGTGCCTGCCGAGGAAACGCAAGGTCCCGAGTTCGATCTCCAGTACCAAAAAAAAAAAAACACAGTTAGTTGGGAAACAGAGAACTGGACAGTGCCCTCACTGCTCACCCTAAATGGTAACAAATGGCAAAAGCTAGGAGGCATGGTATTGGGGCATCCTACACCTGGGAATACTGAAGGGAATGCAACTCCATTGCCTTCCCTGGCCTCAGAGTCTTCCATCAATGTCTGCTCCTGAGGTAGGAGATAGAGTAAGGAAGCCATGGGGCAAAGAATGAAGAAACTAGACTGAGTAAGGACAATTGTGTCAAAATATCAGAAAACCAATAGAAGCTGGGCCTGGTGGCACATATCTGTAATCCTAGCACTCATGAGGCTGAGGCAGGAGGATTGCTGCAAGTTCAAGGCATCTGGGATACATAGTGAGTTCAAGTCCAGCCTGAACTACATAGTGAGATTTTGTCTCCACAATAAATAAATTTTTTTTGGTATCAGGGATTGAACTCGGGACCTTCAGCTTGCAAGGCAGGCAGCAGCACCACTGAGCTAAATCCCCAGCTACAATAAATAAATTTTTAAAAATTAAAAGAAAAGTTCACCCTACCCCACTCCCCAAGACCTCCAGGCATACACAAAACCAAAACTCCAATCCCCCCAGCATTTTTTGCACTGGAGTTTGACTCCCCCCAGTGGGATTAGGATGTCATGACACTTCCTCTAAAAACCTTGTGTGTAGGGCTGGGAATTTAGCTCAGGGGCACCACGCCTGCCTCACAAGCATAAGGTCCTGAGTTCAATCCCTAGTACCAGAAAAAGTAAAATAAAAACCTTGTGTGGTCAAAAACTTCCCCTCTGACTCAAGGGCTGAGTCAAGCAGCCCATTGGGGCAGTTAACCCCAGGTACAGATCCTCCCATAATCCCAGAAGGCTTAAGAGGCCCAGTACTGCTCTTCTTACTGGCCTGCTCCCACTGTGTGAAGTGGCTTGGCTTCTTTCACATTTTTTTTTTTTTGGTACTGGGGATTGAACTCAGAACCTTGTGCTTTCGAGGCAGGGGGCACCACTGAGCTAAATCCCCGGCCCTTCTTTCACTTTCAATAAATCTTACTCTGTTACTCCTGCTCAGTTCTTTGTTTGGGATACCAAGAACCTGGAAACAACTCCCCCAAGACCCTCCATCCAATAACAGCCCCTCTCTCTACACAATGGGCTTTGGGCAGAGAGAGGTGAGAGAAAGGCAGTTGTGTTGCTAAGGAGTCTCAGGGGTACCCCTGCTGTTGCATCCTTTTGAGTACACAGGGCACAACAACAAAGCCTGGCCTGGTTCCTTTCCCCTATTGTGTGTGCTGTTCTTAGTGACTCACTTTCCATGAGTAGAATGTGGGGAAATGGTGCGTGACTTCTGGAATCGGGACATAAAAAGCACTAGAGGCCTTGGCCACTGCTGCTGCCTCCTTCTGCTACTCCTGGGGTTGCTTGTGGGCTCATTCGGTGCGGACCTGGTACCTCTTTTGTGAAGCAGCAGCTTAGAAGACTCGGGCGCTCACTGTGGCTGACAGAAAAGCCCAAGGAAGGAGTCAAGACTGAGAACAATGATCATATTAATTTGAAGGTGGCAGGGCAGGATGGTTCTGTGGTGCAGTTTAAGATTAAGAGGCATACACCACTTAGTAACCTAAAGAAAGCCTATTGTGAAGGACAGGGTTTGTCAATGAGGCAGATCAGATTCCGATTTGATGGACAGCCAATCAATGAAACAGACACACCTGCACATTTGGAACTGGAGGACGAAGATACAATTGATGTGTTCCAGCAGCAGACAGGAGATGTCTACTAAAAAGGGAACCTGCAACAACTCTACTCCAGAACTCTGTTCTTACAGATCGAGAATACATTCTCAACTGGAAAACTGCAATTTGGTTCCACCACATCCTGACTACTACAGTATACTTTTCTGTATTCTTTCATTTACCCCTTCCCCATTCCTTTTTTTTTGTTTTTTAAATTCTTTTTGTTTTGGTACTGGGGATTGAACTCGGTCCTCGCGCTTGCCCAGCAGGTGGCGAAACCACTGAGCTAAATCCCCGGCCACCCTTCCCCATTCCTTTATTGTACATAAATTATCTGGTGTATGTGCACAAGCATATTGCTTTTTTTTTTTTTTTAACTAAATGGCCAACAATATGTTTTGATTGACATCAGATGGAGATGGGATGAGGAGATACTGGTTCTGTGAAAATAATTCCCTCTCTCCATTAGTGGCATGATCATCAGCTCTTATCTTTATATTCCAGTAAGTTATTTTGCACTCACTGTCTTAACAGAAAAGACAACAGCATAAAAATCCTTTCATACCTTGTTTTATTGGAGAATGTTAATGTTTTTCATTTATCATTGTAAAACCAAAGACAATTTTATAACTTTTTTGTACTTTGTTGTTACATGTAGGGCAGTCTGTCTTTATGTAGGAGTAAATTACTCTTTAAAAGAAAAAGAATCCTAGATAGTTTTCCCTCTAAGTCAAGTGTCTTGTTGTTTAAATAAACTTCTTGTTTAAAATGAAAAAATAAAAGCACTAGAACTTTCCCTCCCCTCTCCTCCTCCCTTCTCCGCCTCCTCGCCCCTCCTGAGGATACTTGGGCAGCCCATGGAGAGACACAGATGGTAAGAAGCTGGGCCCCCCACTAACAGCACACGAGGGAGCCACCTGGGAAGCAGAGCTTCCAGCCCCAGGCCAGCCTGCAGGTGGCTGCAGCCCCGGCTGACAGCTTGAGCACAGCCTTATGACAGACTTTAAGCCAGAGCCACCCAGCTAAGGCATTTCCTGGTCCCTGACCCACAGGAACTGCAGATTATAAATGTTGGTTGTGTTAAGCCAGTAAATTTGGAGATATCTGTTTCACAGAATAGGTATCTAATGTAGACAGCAATACCTGGCTGTATAAATAGTAGATGGTCAGGATATAACTTGTTGATTGGAGCTACTAAAAGCTCAGATGAATATACTCAAAATTCTGCTCTCTCACATGACAAGCCCTAGACACTGAAGAATCCCTGACATGCTCTTCTCTCTCTTCAGAAAGACCAAAGAACTCATCCTATGTCCCTTTACACCTTGGCTGTCAGGAATCTCATGCTTAGGGTGTTGTTCAAACACAGGATTTATTATTAGGGTAAATTTGGGGATGTTTTCTCTTTTTCCTGAACAATGTCTTCCATATTTACTGTAAATGTCTAGTTATATGAGGGGTGTGTCTGTGTGTGTCTCTGTGTGTATTTCTAAGGACTGAAACTGGGGCTTTCTCACTGAGTCACATCCCCGGCACTTTTTTTACTTCTTACTTTGAGACAGGGTCTTCCAGGGTCACTAAGTTGCCCAGGCTGAACTTGATCTTGTGATCCTCCTGCTTCAGCCTCCCAGAGTGCTGGGATTACAGACATGTGCCACCATGCCCAGCAATGATATGCGTCTTTAAGATAAATCATATTTAATCATTTTGTGAAACAAGCAGACATGAATGAAGGATAAGTCAATGAATAAAGAGAAGGAAAGAAGGAAGGAGCATTAATGAATGACTAGAAACAGAGGCAGCCATGAGATGCCTGCTCATCCCCTACCTGCATTAACTCCTGTCAGCAGTCTTCCCAGCATGATCATCTCAAAGGAGCCTGCTTTGCGGCTGAATCCAAACAGGATCGCTGCTACCACTACAAAGACGTTATTCACCAGGAGGGACTTCTTCCTTGGAGGAAGTGGAAAACAGGTAAGAGAATCTGTGGCTCGGTGCAGAAGAAATCTCTACGGCCCTCAGCAATTCTAGCCCTGATCAACACACAGACTGCGTGTGTGTGTGTGTGTGTGTGTGTGTGTGTGTGTGTGACAGAGACAGAGACAGAGACATAGAGACAGACAGAACTGTTTCAAGAACAAGCTATATGAACTGAAATAACCACAAGCCATTGTATCTGGGCTCACATGTGGTAGGCCTTGAGGTACACACTCTTATTCCTAGCCCAACTTATCCCCAAATTACTCTTTCTACTTGCACTGCAGTTTGGAATGACAGCATTTATATTTTACGGCTGTCTGCTTGAGATTAAATATTGCTCTCCCCAAACTTCTATGTAAAATGAAGGAAACAATATGTAATTTCTCAGACTTAATAAAATCCTAGGGAGGAAAAACAGGTGAGGCAAGTGATGCATCAAAAGCCAAGTACAGTTCCTTCATCATATATACAGACACTTCCCAGAAGACTCAGGTTGGCAGAATGCCCCAATGCCTTGGCCAATGAGAACAAGACCTCAGACCAAGAAGGGGACTTTGAAAATGTCCCCTGCTCCACCATTGTGATAGCTTTGGGCTTCTGATATCAAGTTTAGAAGGGCTGTCAAACAGATCACCTAAGAGAGCTTACGAGAGACCACATGGCTCACTGTACTGATAGGAAAACTGAAGACCAGGGAAGGCTGGTGTTTTCCCCAAATTCGAGAGCACATCAGTGATAGGATATGAGCCAAAGCTGAGGTCTCCTGTGTCTAGAGAATGAAAGATTACAGATTATCAAGTTCGTGACAAACTTGATGTAGTGGTAGCTCCAATTGTAACCAATAATTACAGTTGTAATAATATATCATTTTCTAACTGAAATTAATAAATCCATTAATAATTAATGGTAATTAACTACTTGGCCCTGGAATGAATCCATTTGTTCCATTTCAATACACAGACACTACAAACACTTAGCTTTCACCTAGCAGGGACTGTAGTACACTTCATTTTTTTTTCCAATAAAACTTTATTTTCAAAAAACAGGTAGGAGTTTGACTTGGCCCATAGTCAATAGTTGGCTAACCCCTGCTCTACTGTATTTTTTTATTGGTACATTTTAGATATACATAATGATAACATTCATCATAGGTAATTTGTACCTGTACATGATGTATCTTGTTTCTTCTTATTTTTCCATTCCTGTCCCCATCCTTCAAACCCTCTTCCCCTCCTTATTCACAAAAGCTTTGTTTCCACTTTTTCCTTCTCTTGTTGTTCTTTTTTTTTTGATACTGGGGATCGAACTCAGGACCTTATACTTGCTAGGCAGGTGTGATGCCACTGAGCTAAATCCTCGGCCCTCTTCTCTTGTTTTTCTTGTTCCTGCCTACCCTTCCCCCTCCATCTGCCCTTGTTTCCCTTCTCATTTGAACATTTCCCAATATCTATTCTACATTTTGGTCCTTATTTACACTTTCTTTTTCTTTCTTTTTTTTTTTTTTTGGTACCAGGGATCGAACTTGGGTCCTTGCACTTGCAAGGCAAGCGATGGAACCACTGAGCTAAATCCCCAGTCCCTTATTTACACTTTCGATTTCTCACACCAGAGAAACAATGTGGTATTTAAACATGTGTGTTTGATTTATTTCATTAAGAGTATGGTCTCTGGGGGCTGGGGATTTAGCTCAGTGGTTCCACCGCCTGCCTCGCAAGTGCAAGGACCTGAGTTCAAGCCCCTGTACCAAAAAAAAAAAAGAGTATGGTTTCAAGGTGCATCCATTTAACTAGAAATGTCTCAAGCTTATCCTTCTTTATGGCAGAGTAGTACTCCATCACATTAAAAAACCCCCACATCTTCTTTATCCATTCATCAGTTGATGGGCATTTAGGCTGTTTCCAAGATTTAGCTATACAAATTGTATTGCTATAAACACGGGTGTGCATATATTGCTGTGGTATGATGCTTTTAATTCTTTTGGAAAGATACCAAAAAGGGGAATAGCTGGGTTGAATGGAACCTCTAGTTTAGTTTTTTGAAGAATCTCCACACTGATTTCCACAGTAGTTGCACCAGTCTACACTCCCACCAATAGTGGAGAAGGGTTCCTTGTTCCCCACAGCCACGCTAGCATTTGTTATTGATTGATTTCTTGATAATAGCAATTCTTTCTGGAGTGAGATGGAATCTCAGCATTGTTTTAATTTGTATCTCTTGAATTACCAGTGATATTGAACATTTTTTCATACATTTATTTGCCATTTCTACTTCTTCATCTGAGAAGTGTCTATTCATTTCAGATGCCCATTTTTTATTGGCTCTTTAAAAGTGGGGGGGTCTCATTTTTTTGAGTTCTTTATATATTCCAGGTATTAGACCTTTAACTGAGGAATAGCTGGCAAAAAAATTTCTCCCACACTGTGAGTTGTCTCTTCATTCTGTTGGTGGTTTCTTTTGCTGTGCAAAAACTTTTCAATAAGATGAGATCCCAGTTGTTAATTCTTTGTGATATTTCCTGTGCGACTGGGGTTTTGTTCATGAAGTCTTTGCTTACACCAATGTCTTCAGGAGTTCTACCTATTCTTTTTTATTTTTTCCAGTACTGGGGATTGAATTCAGGATCTTGTGCTTATGAGTCAGGTGCAGTGCCACTGAGCTAAATTCCCAGCCCTGAGTTTACCTATTCTATCTTCCAACAGATTTAGTGTTTCTGTTTTAATATTTAGATCTTTGATCCATTTCAATTTTAGTTTAGTACATGGTGAAAGATATGGGTCTAGTTTTAATCTTTGACATGTGGAAAACCAGTTTTTCTGGCACCAATTATTTAATTTTGTTTTTTTTCTTCTTTGGTACTGGGGATCGAACTCAGGACCTTGCACTTGTGAGGCAGGCACCGGAACCACTGAGCTAAATCCCCAGCCCAAAAGGAGAACTTCATATCTTTTTTTCTTGGTACTGGGGATCAAACTTGGGTCCTTGCGCTTGTGCAGCAGGAGGCAAAACCAATGAGCTAAATCCCTGGCCCAGTCTGGCAGCAATTATTAAAGAGGCTATCTTTCTTCCAGTGAAGGTGTTTGGCTCCTTTGTTAAAGATTAAGTGGCTGTGTATGTCTGGAGTTGTTTTTGCATCTTCTCATCTGTTCCATTGATCCTCTAGTCTTTTTTTTTTTTGTCTGTGCCTTGCTGTTTTTATCATAGTAGCTTTGTAATATACTTTCAAGTCAGGGATTGTGATGTCCCTTGTCTTGCCTTTGTTGCCCAGAACTGCCTTTGCTATTCTAGGTCTCTTCTGGTTCCAAATGAATTTTAGGATTGTTTTCTCTAATTCCATGAGATTTTTCTATTGGTATTTTGATTAGGATTGCATTAAATCTGTATAACAATTGTGGAAGTATACCCATTATCACTATATTGGTTCTTTCTACCCAACAACAAGGGATAGCTTTCAATTTTCTGATATCTTTTTCAATCTCCTTTTTCAGAGTACTGCAATTTTCCCGTTTTCCTTCATTAGATTGATTCCTAGGTATTTGTTTTTTGGGGGGATGCTATTGGGAAAGATGTTGTTTCCAAAATTTCTCTCTTATAAATTTGTTATTTGTGTACAGGAATGCTACTGATATTTGAGTGTTGACTTTGTATCCAGCTACATTATTGAATTTGGTTATTAAATCTAGAAGTCTTTTGGTAGAGTTTTGGGGGTCTTCTATATAGAGTATCATGTCATCCAAAAATAATGATAATTTAACTTCTTCCTTTCCTATCCTTATCCCTTTTATTTCTTTCTCTTGTCTAACTGCTCTGGCTAATATTTCCACAACTATATTGAATAAGAGTGGTGATAGTGGACAACCTTGTCTTGTTCCTGATTTCAGACTCAAAGCTTTCCATTTTTGTTCATTTAGTATGATGTTGGCTATTGGTTTGCCATAGATGGCTTTTACCAGATTGAGATAAAGACCATCTATTCCAATTTGCTGTAGGGTTTTTAAAGCATGAATGGGTGTTGCACTTTGTCAAATGATTTTTCTGCATCTACTGAGATGATCATATGGTTCTTGTCCTTGGCTCTGTTAATATGACATATTGCATTTATTGATTTGCGTATGTTGAACCATCCTTGCCTCCCTGGGATGAATCCTACTTGGTCATGGTGTGTAATCTTCTTTTTTCTTAATAGCAAAACATTTATCAATGCACTTGAGGCATACATAATGATAACACTAATTACAGAGTGTATAATCTTCTTGATGATTTTCTGCATTCTGTTTGCCAGTATCTTATTGAGGATTTTTGCATCTATCTTCATTAGGGAGATTGGCCTGTAGTTCGCTTTTTTGGTTGGATCCTTTTCTGATTTTGGTATCAGGGTAATACTTGCTTCCAGGAATGAATTTGGGAGTATTGCTTTCCTTTCAATTTCATTAAAGAATTTAAGAAGTAGTAGCATTAGGTCTTCTCTAAATTTCTTGTAGAGTCAGCAGTGAATCCATCAGGGCCTGGGGTTTTCTTTATTGATAGGTTTGTTTTGTGTTTTGTTTTGTTTTTTTTTTTTGTACCGGGGATCAAACTCAGGACCTTGTGCTTTTGAGGCAGGCAGCGGAACCACTGAGTTAAATCCCCGGCCCTTTATTGATAGATTTTAAATTATGTCTTCAATTTCATTGACTGATATTGATTTATTTAGAATTTTTATATCTTCTTGATCAGCTTTGGTAATTGATGAATTGATATCTAGGAATCTGTCCATTTCTCTGTGTTTTCTATCTTATTAGAATACAGGTTCTTGAAGGTGGTATTGATGATCTTCTGGATTTCTGCAGAACCTGGTGTGATTTCACCTTTTCATTCATAATTGCATAGATTTAGTCTTTTCTTTCCTTTTTTGGATAAGGTTGGCTAAGGGTTTGTGAACTTTATTTAATCTTTCAAAGAGCCAACTCTTTGTTTGTTTTGTTTTTTTGGTACCA